GTACCGTTTGGTGAAGAGCAGGCACAGAGATATGCCACAAGCAGGCAGACGGCTGATAGGAGGCTTCGTTTACTTTGTGTCAGAGAGACAGCAGCCAGGCTGACTGGGCAGACCTGAGCTCTGCTGAGGGGATTGGCTCGGCTGTGAGAGACAGAAGCAGCACCCTGGAGTGGGCTTCTTGGTCTGGGGCCGGGGCTTGGGGAGTGGGGTTGGAACAGAGGCTCACACCAGGCTCAGAGGGGGAACCGGTTAAGAATGACAGCCTATCAACCTGAAAGGCACATTGGTGTTTGGCATTTCTATAAAAGAATCACTTGTAAGCAGAGGATGGCTCAAGGTTGTGTGAAGTTTAACCCCACACACCTACCTTTGGCTAAGTTCCCTCTGGAATCAGGGCCGGAGACAAGCACTATTTTAAAGACTCATGTGAGACGCGTCCACTCATATATACTATTTGAGAAGAACATGCATAGAGGCCAAAGTTTACTCGTGGTTATGAGGGAGCTGAGTGAGGAAAACACGGGAGCTCATGCTTAAGGGGTCCAGACTCTGCTGGGGGTGACGAAAAACTTTGGGAAATGAACAGTGGTACTGGTCGCACAGCACGGGGGATGTGATTAATGTCACTGAATTAATTGTACACTTAGAAACAGTTAAAGTGGCAACCTTTTAGACTTACATGCGTGTGTGTGTATAGCCACAATAAAAAATAAAAGCTGTAAGAATGCAAAACTGCGTATATTTTGAGGGTGTGCAGGTCAGTGGACTGCTCAAGCACCAACCGTCCTTCTCAGACGACGGGAGCTCTTTCCTTAACAAGTATTGCAAGCAGGAGGCTTCTGGGCTCAAAGACTCTCCTGACTCCCAGCTGCTCCCTGGACCGAAACTGCCTCCCTAGCCTCTTCTCTAGTCCCCCCGCCCTGCTCCACACACCTCCTAGGAGCTCAGCTTTGGCACCTGAGGGCGGCCGCACTGGGGATGCAGGCCTTTGCAAATCTCAAGGGGTTAACGCTATGGCTGGGAATTTGGCTTAATTTTTCGGTTTCTGACACATTACACCTGGAAAGAGTTTGGTGAAGAAAAATGTTACTGCCGTGTGTGTGTGTGTGTGTGTGTGTGTGTGTGTGTGTGTACATGGACATTTCAGAGCGAAACTGACTGCAACTCTGAGGCACCAGCTTGGCTGACAGTGTCCTGGCGGACGACTCTAAACGGTTTTTCTCCGCAGGCAGACTGTTCTCCCTAACCAGTCAGTCCGAGGGAAACAGGGATGGCTTTCTGGACACTCGTTATCCTCTAGGGTACCCCGCACAGTATTCTATATATAAAAGAGCTCAATCATCACATCTTTTAAGAAATTAATTTTAAAAATCTCTTCTTCCTTCCACACAGTGCTGCAGCCCTCAGCAGAAGAGCCGCTTTGCAGCCAAGGAGACCTTCCTGAGCAGGTCCCCTCCTGGTTCCTGGGTCGAGAGCCGTACAGCGTACAGTCCAGGTGTCTCAGCAGTGACTATGTCTCAGGATAGGTGCAGGAAACATTTGAAAACTAGATCCCCTTCCTCAGAGAGATCAACCCACTGCAAGCACAGCAGTTGGCTCTAACGCCCCGCATGCGAGTCTACTCTGTACTTGACGTTCAGAATACGGGTGAACTGTCGGCTCTGTGCTAAAACTGCGATCGATTTTATATAACTTTGAAATTAGGAAGCATAGAATGTTCTGTTACCTTTTGTATCTCAGGATGAAAAATTTCCCTGGGGCCTTTCTCAAATTTGTCCAGATTCATGGCACTGAAATAGAACAGACACCGAATGAGCTACAGTATAGAGGAAACGTAAGTCATGTGGGACCAGGCTCCGTTTTTCAGAGACTTGCTACCATTTCTCTAGAACTGGAGTCTCCATAGGGCCAGGCACAAGAAGATACATATTACCAAGTGAGTAATCAAGGAACAGAGGAGCGTAAGCCCACATCACCTTGTACTTCCTGATGTAACTGTCCCTTTGTGGTACTCGTGCAGTGAGGGAGGAAGGGAGAGGGCCATGGGGAACATCTTGGGGCAAGCCTGGCCAGTCTTCAAGGCTGCGTTGTTCATTGCTACTTACAGATTAATGATAGTGACATGTGAGGGAACGTGCCCGGTATTTATTTGTCCTTCGGCAGTTTCTTTGCCATTCTCGGCAAAAGTTTGTCCTAGCAGTTCTTTTATCTGTCACTTTGGACAAGTTACACAATTTCCTTGAGCCGAGGTGCCTCTTGCAATAAACAAGGTGTGTGAACTATATAAGTGTAAGACCCCTGCGGGCTAGGTTTCCAGTATTTGTAAGTGAAAGGTTAATGTCTACTGAGTTCTTGCTATCTGCCAGGCACAGAGCTGAATGTTCGAATACATAGATGATCTCGTTTATGAAGTAAGAGCTATCATATTTCCATTGTAAAGATAAAGAAAGTGAGGTTCAGAGATGGTAAATAACTGGACTAGGACCACAAGGCTGGTAAGGAGCAGAGCCAGGAATTGAACCCAGGCTTATCTGACTCCATCGCGTTTATATTTTAACTTCCTTCTTCAGCTTTTCCGTCCATGATTATAACAAGAGAAGCTAAAATCTTTTCTTCTATTGAGCAACCACAAAATTTGTAACCTTCCACATCTTTAAAATGTTTTCTTGCTGTAACTTGCTCCAGCTACAGGCAGTGGACTGAAAAGCTAAGGGTTTGCTCAACGAGCTAAGCAATCAGTGTAATGAAATGTCTCATTTTTAAACATACAGAGGAATGGAGATGGAGCAAATTCTTTAGAGGACAAAAATTCATGAGATTCTTAACAGCCCACAATTCAAAGTATTCAACTCAAAGCAACTTTAGATTTATGGCACCCTTCTGTTTGGGTACCCTTCAAGCCTGCGACTGAATTCAACTCCAGAGCTCAACTTTCAGCCAAACACTAGACAGGTCTACAGGGT